TCTAAATTCATTTATTATAATTGTTCGATTTTTCCCTTTCAATATAACATTTCCGTCTAAACTGTTGTCTTATTTTATAGTGGACATTGGTTGTTGGTCGCGATTAATCTGACGAAAGAAATAGTGTATTATATAGATTCATTGGATGGAGATACAACAAAATATGAAAATCTGAGGAACATGGTTGATACGTAAGTGATGAGATATATTGTTGTCTTTAATTATATATCTTTATTTATTATGTGACATTGTTCTAAATATGTGTTTATATTATGTTAGAGTTATACAAATATTCAGAGCACAAAGAGATGCAACGGTGCCAAAAAGCAAGGCTAACAACATCAACTGGATCAGAGTGGAGGTATATTTTCCCATGTTTGACTGTTATAGTGGTTCTACTTGATAAAACTATTTAAACTATATATCCTAATAAATGTTCGTTTGTTTTTTCCATTAACAGTGTCCTCGGCAGCGCAATGGTATTGACTGTGGATATTTTGTATTGCGCTTTATGAAGGAAATTATTCTTTCTGGTCAACTTGAGATTCCAATCATGGTATGGATCAATTCATTATATAAGTTATATGATTCATTTTGATAATTATCCGATACTTCATCTGAGTAATTAGTTTTAAAATTAAATCTTGCATGTTCTGTTATATTATGTAGTATTTTGATGAATTCAAGTGCGCTACTTACACGAAAGCAAAATTGGAAGAAATTAAAGAGGAATGATGTCAATTTATTCTTGGGTTGAGAATTGTATAAAGTTATCGGATTGGAAGAATTGTAATTATATGTAAATTGAATGTATTTGTGATGTTGTAATTCTGAGGATCAGATTTTGTTGTAACATATTTAAGCAGGTTTATGTGTATTAAAATGATTATGGACAAAGTGATGAGTTACAATGTATACTTAAAGGCCAAAGTTTTGAATTGTATATATAAGGCCAAAGTTTTGAATTGTATATTTAAGGCCAAAGTTTTGAATTGTATATATAAGGCCAAAGTGTTGAAATAAAGGCCTGAATTATAAGCAGGTTTGTGTAATATAAGCAGGTTGTTGGTAAATATACAAAACAGGATGAATATTTTTTTTAAAAAAATTTAAAATCTAGGACATTAGACAACGCTTTTACAAAAAAGCGCTGCTAAAGGTTACAAACATAGCGCTACAAAAGCGCTGCTATAGGTTTGGAAAGGGGGGGGGGGGTCTAAGACATCGCTTCTAAAAAGCGCTGCTAAAGGGGGGGGCTATGGCAGCGCTTTGTAAAAGCGCTGTTAAAGGTGGGCTCTAAGACAGCGCTTTGTGAAAGCGCTGCTAAAGGGGGAGATGGTTGGGGGGAATATGCAGCGCTTATGAAAGCGCTGCTAAAGGGCTATAAAAGCGCTGCTAAAAGTGCTGCTGAAAGGAGCCTTTAGCAGCGCTTTTTCCATAAAAAAGCGCTGCCTTTACCTTTAGCAGCGCCACTTTTGGCAGCGTTTTAAAGCGCTGCTAAAGGCCAAAAAAAGCGCTGCTAAAGGTCTTTTTTGGCATAGTGACTTAATTCCCGGTATGTACAAGACATCTTTGATCCTTGAATGTCCACCATTCTTCCTTCCGATCAAAACATCTCCTACCCCTTCGGCGCTTAAAGTGGTGTCGTCGACAAACTTGACTTTACTCTTTGCCGCTTGATTGATTTCCACACACCAATCCTTTCGACCCGTCATATGTGTTGAAGAACCGGAATCCAAGTACCATTCATCTTTACTTTGAAATAGTACAGCTGCTATCCCGCAAACTATCACCACAGTAGTTGTTGTTCTGAACATCAACAGTGTCATAATTCTCCTCTATGATCATCACTAGAAGGGTGTCTTCATCATCTCCCTCTTCTCTAGCAACCTTGACTTCATCATTTCGAGTTTTATTCAATCTAACACGACACATAGATTGAAAGTGTCCAAGCTTTTTACACTTGAAACATTGTACTTTACTCAAATCCCTTTTGATACCATTGTTATGATCACTCTCCTTGGAGCTACTCTCACCCTTTTCACCCGTCGAATTCTTCGAATTTTGAGACTCGTTTGCACCAAACTTCTGAATATTTGGCTTACCTCTAGCTGCAAATTTTCCTTTCTACCTCTTATTCTTCTCATTAAAACGCGCTTGCAAAGCGATCTCCGCTTTGGCTTTGTCGGAACCTCTCTCATCCATCCTTTGTTCATGCGCCTATAACGAACTTTGCAACTCATCCTTGCTCCAAGTAGTTAGATCCTTTGACTCTTCAATAGCCACAACTATATTATCGAACCGTGATGTTAACAAACGCAACACTTTCGATACAACATTCTGCTCAAGAATCGTTTCGCCACATGACTTGATTTGATTAAGTAACCGGGTAATGCGCGTAATGTAATCGTTGATCGTTTCTCTGTCCTCCATTTGCGTTAACTCGAATTGAATTTTGTAAGTTTGTAACCTTACCACCTTCGCTTTGACGACACCGACATATGCTTTCTCCAAGATTTCCCATGCTTGCTTCGCGGATTCACAATCGCCAACCTTCTCGAAATTGTCGTTATCAACACAAGAGTGAATCAAGAATAGGGCTTTGTAATCCCTTCTTTTCTTCCTTGTGTATAACCCTAATAGCTTCAGTAGCATTTGTCCCTAAGGGTGTAACTCCATTGATGACGATCTCAAGAACCTCTTGATAACCAAACAAAACCTTCATTTGTTTCGCCCATTTGTCGTAGTTCTTCGAATCAAGAATTGGGAGATTGGTGGGAATTCAATCATTAGAAACGGTAGTCATTGTTGCAGCGGATTAGGATCAACAACCGGAGCTCTTGATGCCAAATGTTAGAACAACATACAAAAACAGAGATTGAAGGTAGTAACAATGGTGGAAAAGAAATTGGAGAAGAAAATGAAATTGAGAGAGAAAGATAATTAGGGTAGAGAGTATTGTTGGATGAATTAAAATTGGCATTAATTGAAATTAAAAATTACAAAATGTATTTATACACTTGATAGAATAATCCAAAAAAAACAAAAGTCAACTAAAGTGATCATGCTGTTAAATTAAAAAAAAAATCAGAATTTAACAGCTTTCAACAATTCCCAATTTACCTTGACTTTGTGTTCTATTGAAGATATTATTTCCGCATCATATTGGGTTTAGAGGTTGAAGTTACTTTGTCTTGAAAAAAGTATGTGATTAATCACATACTGAATCACATAACTTTAAGGATGGATGTATCCACTAAGGAGGTGATAGCGATATGAATTTATTATAATTATAATACATATGATTAATATCATTTTACCTCTCACTATATAAGCAATTTCTAGTTTACTTTTTGTAAAAAGAAATTATGTTTCCATTATTGATTCACAAATTTTATGTGCCTATTTGACAGGTAGTAAAGTGATATTAATTCTAATATATAAAATTCATTACTTTAGAAATAATATCTTTTTTTATTTACAATATTAGTTTTTAAATATAATTTAATATGTTTTTGAATACTAATAAAAATAAAAGTTGTAAAAATGAAATATAAAATAATTAAAAATTAAGTTAGTTATATTAATATTTAATATTTAATATAGAGAAAATAAATATAACAAAATCACAAATTTTAATTAAAAAAGACAATTCAACTTAAAAAACACAAATAATTAATTAATATGTTTTTAGAATTTATAATTATTGGACTAAACAGAACACATGTAATTCATATGGACTAACCATAATTGATAGCTGACATTTTTAAAGTCGGATTAAATAAAATAAACTTAAATTATTAATTGATCCTGTAAGTTAGTATTTTTTTCGTACATGTATTTTTTTATAAAATCTTTAAATAATTTTTTTTATCTAATTTTAATTAATAAAATTAAAATTTGCAGAAAAATTTATAAGTTTCTTATTGATTTTTTTACAAACTTTTATATAAATTTTAATTTTAGAGATTAAAACCAAATCATTTTAAACACTTGGAGATTATTTCAAAAACTAAATATGTTAATTTACGTTAACCATTTGATTATTTAAAACAAAAATTCTATGGACTTTTTTATTACGCACTTGTTGCCATTGAACCGTTTGTCTCGGCCTGATTTAAGCACGTTAAAAAAAAGTGGGATAAACAAGTCCGTCAAATGAATTTGGATTAAAAATCTACTCCGTCCTGCCAAAGTGATGGGTTGGCGGGAGGCGGAATTGCCTGCCTATTTTTTTATTTTTGTTATTTTTCATTTTTTAATAGATTAATAGATTTAATTTTATATTTTAATTAGACTTTTATTTATTTTTTAAAATATTTTTTTATAAAATATATTTTTAATAAATTTTATTTTGAAAATATTGCATATATTCACAAATAAATATATAAAATAGAATCATCAACAACAATTATTTCAAAACTATAGTTGAAATATTAATCTTCAACTATTCATAATAAATATTTTGAGTATTTGAAAATTAAGTTGACGGGTTGGCAAACCAATCTGTCTTTTTTTTTTGACAGATTTAAGGTTGACGGATTTAAGGTGGGACGGAATTAAAATAGACGGATTCATCGAGTAGACATTCATCAAATCATAATTTAGCTCTTTATTTTTTTTATGGGTGCACAGGCCAACCCGACAAACCCCGTTTTGCCTATGTTAAGTTCATTTTCTTGATTATGTTAATGATATATTTGTACATGGCGTTTCATTATAATTGTATTATTATGAATTATACATGGGTCTCAATAGTATGGATATATAAATTTAAAAGGAGGCAAAGTACCAACTAACAACGATAATATATATTTGATATATTACAAATGATAACACATTCTTCACTTTCACTCGAAATAAAACTCGTCACCAAATATACAAAGATGATACATAACCACAAATGATTCATGACTATCTATACCTCTTTTATTTAAGACTAAACACTGTTCATTCATGAAACTTATTACTTTGAATGTGCATCATCTATTATGGTTTCATCAGTTACCATTGTCGGAAGCACCACCGTGTCCACCATGTCCACCATGGTAACCGCCACCTCCATGGTACCCTCCGCCACCATTATGGTAACTGCCACCTCCATGGTACCTTCCGCCACCACCATAGTAGTGGCCATATTTGGCATCATTTACTTCATTTGATTTTTCAACGACCTCTGCAAATACAACCGTGTGATATATTAGATAACCACAAAAGATTCTTAATTATTACACTTAAAATGTCCATGCATGATGATATAATCTGTTACCATTGTTGGAAACACCGCCACCGTTGTATCCACCGCCTCCGCCGTAACCACCACCACCATGACCGTAACCTCCACCACCACCATGACCGTAACCTCCACCACCATGACCGTAGCCACCACCATGACCGTAACCTCCACCACCATGACCGTAGCCACCACCATGACCGTAGCCTCCACCATAGCCTCCATGACCGTAGCCTCCATGACCATAGCTTCCACCATGACCATAGCCATGACCATAACCTCCACCGTAATATTTGGCATCATTTACTTCATTTGACTTTTCAACAACTACTGCAAATACACCATTATGTGAATTTAAATCTTAAATTTAGTTAACATTACCGGTATATAGATATCTACTTGTTTTCATAAATAAGAAAGAAATCTTCTAAGATTATAAAATATCCTTAAAATGCTTAAGAAAAGGTAACCTTTAACTCTTTAATAAACTACAATAAAAATAAGAATAATTAAAAACTAGCTCACCCTCTTTGGTATCAGTGGAAGTCTCAGCTAATTCTCTAGCTGACACCTCAGAGGAAATAACAAGAACCATGGCCAATAGACCAAGGATGAGGAAAACGCTTTTGGAATCCATTGTGAAATGTGAAATTTGGTAGTGAAGGATGAGAAAAATAGTAAGAAAGTGTGGTCTATATATAATGGAAGGAAGTAGGAATCAATACGGAACCATTACTTGGTAGTTGAGAAGGAGTTAGTCAGTATTAATTCAATCTTATCTCTAAAATGTGAAATAATTGTTTGTTGATCTTGATTGATTTTTGAGTAGTAAAGATTGGAGGCTATAAACTAAAGCAGTGCAGTTATTATGCATGTCATTGCTATGTCTACTTCCTATTAGCAGAAAGTGATAGCTTTGAAATACTACTACTTGTAGTCAACACTAGCTATCTCATGGAGCTTCGTTCCAAATATAATCTTCACATATATTTATATTTTTTCTATATGCGTACAAAAATAGAGTAAACAGTCTATCAGCTTGTTCCTGACGCGTGTGCAATGTCTTGCATCATGGGGACAGATGTCCAGGTCCTTGTGCTTCTCGGTTCAGTTTGAAGACGGGTTCGACAAGTTTTCTGATTCATTCCGTTCACATTTCGGAGTTTCGATTTGGAAAAAAAGGGTCATTCTAAAGTTGTAGTGTTTTCTTGTTGTGCAAGGTTGCATAGCTATTTTAGAGGTGTTTAAGATGTTCCCGAGTTTAGTTTAAGGAAAGAATATGTTTCTAAACAGGGTCTCGATCTATCGTTTTATGGTAGGTAATTTGAAAATATCAAACAAAATTATTTTTTATTAAGAAAACTTGTCGGTAAATCTCTAGCAATTAATATTAAGATGGCATGTGCCTCCTTTTTCTCTCTCATAGCCATCATTATCAAGCCATGTGGTCCTAACTATTGGTATTCAAGTTTCGATTGATATTCAAAATACTATATACTTTTACGTTACGCGCCTCAAGTGCTACAAAAGCTTTTTTATCTTCTATGGTCATCTCCCACCTCATTTTTCTCTAACACTAAGTTAATCATATCAACTTCCTCGCAAAAATCATGCAATTATAATTGGAACTAGACTAGGAATCAACACTTCTAGAATAGATTTGAAATTTACGAAGAAGTCAAAGGAACGTATAGAAGAATTTAAGCCTGTGTAATTAATATGCACGAAGTCAAAATGAAAGGAGTTGTTTTAGAAGGGAATGTGTACCACCCTATTCTTTTAACTCGACATTTTAATAAAATAATTTATTGTAACTCAACAAATAAAGTGTCACGCATGTTTTACCATAAAATAAAAGAACCACAATTAACACTTCCAAAAATAGGCAATGGAAAAATCAAACGTTTAACATATGAATCTCAACAATAATGAATGAGAAAGTGGTTCAACAATCCCCAAAAGAAATAAGACATGCAACAAAAGAAAACATAGAACAACATGTTCCTTAGTGTTACATATCAGAGCGACTCAACCAAGACTCGAACGATAAATAATTAAAGAGGCACAACGACATCCTCTAGCATCAACAAACATAAAAGGGTGATAATACATTCATATATAGATAACTTGCATAAACAACAAGGATAGATAAGTAACATGTTATCAGTCTCACAATTCATATCAACTACTAGAACAACATTGATAACATAAACTCATACAAAACACCCCAATCGAATCACACAATCAACTACTCATTCGCATTAACTCATATAAGCAGATAACTCATACTCAATGCAGATATGTATGCAATGTACGAATCTTAAACTTGGTCCATGCTCATCACAATCCCTTCTCTAAACCGGACTCCAATTCAACTATATATGCATGTGGTACCAAGTGTTTTTTTATTATCAGAGGTTTTAACTGATTTACATCCCGCCATGGTCCCCTCTTGGAATTGGACCGCCCCAAGGCCCCCTCTCTGAACTAGGAAACTCTGCAACTCATGAATGCATGTAATGCGACTCAACTCTGTCAATGTTAATCACGGTCCCCTCTCTGAACCGGACTCATCACATCTTAGTCATTACTCTTTCATGGTCACTCACCGTTAAACCCAATAATTCTCATTATCAATTAATTTATTATAACTCAACATAAACTCAAAATTTTCATGCATAATCATTATCAATTCGATAAAATGCATCAATTCACATCAAACAAAAACACATAATCTCAAAAACTACATAACAATATTGATTAATCGTCAAAATAACATATTGTCACATAATTAACTCGAAAACAACTCAATTCTACGATATCACCCTCGTCGGGCGACATACACTTTGCTGGGTGAGTGTTCCCTAGACGAACTTTTCTCTCGTTAGGCACGCATCCTAGAAACTAGAGTTCCATACTCTGCATATCTCGTTGGGAAAGACATCGCTCGCTGGGCGAAGCTCATCCTCGTTGGGCTAGATTGCTCAGACTAGAACCTAGAAAACACGGTTTCCACCATTTAAGTCATATTAAAGCTCCGATTTTGACCCCAATCAATTCCAAACACACGAAATTCATTCATACACGTTAATATCATATTAAAACACTCAAATAGGCACATATTAACATATATTACAATGATTTGATTCATAATCGTTATCACCTTCAACAATTGCAACACGACTCATAAGAACACCAAATTTCAGAATTCAATAGAATATATTCAAATGAAATTGACATGAAATCAGTACACAAAAATTAATATAAAACACATAGATCATGAAAGAGTCATACGAAAACTTATCTTAATCACTAAACCATTCAACCATGGTAAAAAAGGGAAATCTCAAAGGAGGAGGATAAAGAACCCTCTCTATCCACTTTGCCTAAGCACCCACACATTAACAATTTTCCCCCTTACCTTAGATTTGAAGATTCTTTAAGCTTTGGTTATGGTGTCTCCTCCTAGCTCTCCCTCTTTCAAACCTTTGCCTGCCTCTTCTCTCAAAATTGCTCTTATTTCACGTACAGTAAACTAAACCCCTTTTCTCCTATTTTTTCTATTTAAACAAGACAAATAAAACCTAATTACTTGTTTCTAATATTACTCGTGATCTCTTGTTAATTACTCTCACACCCCAAATTTCCTAACTTCTAATTTCTACCCCAAACCTTATTTTTCTCAATTTAAATAATTAAATCAATTAAAATTGAATAAAACTCTCATTTTATTTTTAAAGAGTGAGTTATCTCCTCTTAGGCCATCAATCCTCAAACACATAAAACAAAAGAATTCATCAACACATCACAAATTTAATTAAAATAGCACAAATTAATTAAATACCAAAAACAAGGTGTTACAGAAGGCCGGTGGTTCGGCCGGAGGTCCTCCCACCATGGAGCCCCCTAAAGAGGTGAAAAATAAGAAATTGAGGAAGATGGGCGATGTATCATCAAAGGAACCATTGTTTATATCCGACATCACCGGGAAAGGAAAGGATGGTGAGAAAAATAACTCTGAAGTCAATGATGTTTCTGAAAACTATGTTAAATTAAGGAAGTTCTTGGCATTGTGCTGATTCAAATGATTGTATCAGTTGATGTTCAAAGTAATGTCAGCAAAACCGTCTAAAAGAAATACATGAAATATGGTTGAAAGTGTGTCAAAGAATATTACTAAAGTTCCCAAAAATAAGGATGTAGATTCTGAGAACTTGACCCAAACCCTAGACTTTATTCATGCATATGATGAGCCCCTTAGGACAGATAATACAAAAAATATTTTGAATAAAAATCTTATACAAGTTTCTACTATTAGTGTTGTAGACATTTTCATAGAGGATATTCTAAATGGCAATCGTATGGTGATTGAGGAATCTAGTGATAAAGAGCCCCTAGCTAGTCAAGGTAATATTGATAGTGACGCTGACAACACTAAAGTTAACAAGCCGCATTCAAATGATGAAAAATATGTTGACTCAAACCCTGATGATAGTAAAGGATCTGGGAATGAGAAGTTGTTGATGAAGAAGATCAGATGATGGAAAAGACGAATGGTGAATTTGAGGCCATTATAGAGAACTGATCCTAAGGGACTACTATTTATGAAAACCAGGAAACAAATTTGGAAGATAAAAATGTGTTGGACAACCTTTCCAACATGTTAGAGACATAGTCTCCAACTGAGAAATATAATAATGTTGTGGCCCCTGAAAATAATGTTGAACTTGATGCTGAGAACATTGTTACTAATAACCTTAGTGATTTTGTAAGTGATAATGCTCATGTTCATTAAGATGTTGAGACACATACTATTGAAGCGCCTGCTGATCCTGTTAATACCAATACTAAGAAGAAGCCTGTAAAGAAAAGAAAAAAAGAAGGCAAACAAGATAAAGCTACTCTCAAACCTAAGAAGACCGCCCATAAAAAGGGTATCCACTCCAACCATGGCTAAGAAGAAGGCTAATAGGAAATAGATCTCAAGAAACAAGAAAAGGTTATTGTAGCTGCTGAAAAGTGTGCTACTAAGAAAAAAGCCACTCCAAAAATAAAGGTTGCTCCTGCTGCGTAGATTGTTGAAGATGACTTGGATGATGTTTTGGAAATATTGTGTTAGGTTATGTCAACAAGAATATAAGTATTATTGTGGGAAATAAGAACCTGTCTAATATTCATGTTGTTCATATTGGACAAAATTTCCTCCATTTTGAAGAAAGTTTTTTTAAATGGAAGTATGTATATCATAGAAGGATTTCCCCTGAAAGGGAATTAACTAAAGAGGACTTAAAGTATGATGAGATAGTAGATCTATTAGATGATGCTCTGGTTATGAAAATTATGACTGGTCTAAGTCCGTTTTATCCTCAACTTATGAAATAGTTTGTTGTCAACATTCCTAACGAATTTAACAAGCCTAGAAGTAGAGACTACAAGAAGGTTCATGTTCGTGGCTGCTGCATTGGTTTCTTTCCATCTATAATCAACAAATATATGGGTGAAAGCAAGTTGATAACAGCTGATAAGGTACCTCCCATGAATATTATTGCACAAGAAATTACGGGTAGGTGTATGAAGATTTGTCTTGTAAAGGATTACTGCCTACTACCAGCCTAAGTGTCAAGTATACAATCCATA